GTTTAGGCCTCCATCAAGAAGCCAGTCTCCTTAGCCCACAGACCCCTTGGTTCCATACATCTGCCTTTTGCCCTTTTATCCCACTTCCACCATACACACATACTTCCAGTGCCTGTTGTCTTGCAGCCTCCTGCCTCAATTTTTCACCATCCCCTTCTAACCCAGAAATATAATATCTTAATAATCCACATCAGCCAAGTGTGGTGGCACACACCTTTAGTCCCAGCAGTCGGGAGGCAGAGGCAGGCAATGCCAACCTGGTCTCCATAGTGAATCCAGGTCAGCTGTGGCTACAGGTCTCTAAAAGACCCCCCAAAAATCAATACCTTGCTGAGCTGCACCTACTAAAGAAAGCAGAGTGACCCATGGTGACACAACTGCTTCACCCTAAGATGAAGATGGACACTCCCCAAGCACACTACATGGCCTGCTAATATACAGTCAGCTGTATTTTTGGTTTTCAACATCCTAGATTCTCTGAGCCCACTTCCTGTGTCTCAGGGATGGTCAGCTGCCCTCTCTTTCCTAGAGAAAAGCATGACCATCACACTATAGACCCCAAACTTGCCTTTCTACACCCACCCTCCTTCCAGAGAGGCCTACTACCTACCTGTCCACCTCCCATTGCTCCATCTCAGTGCCTCCTCCATATCCGGTCTTTCCTCATCTTTCAAATCCTTGCCATCAGGATAAAACCTCACTGTCATACTTTAAAACACCCAGTTCCTCCCTTGATGAAGTTGCCACCCCTTTTGTCTAAAGCATGTCTCTAGTCTTCCCCAATGTCACCAGCACTAGCCAACTCTAATCCCAGTTCTGGCTCCCCTGGGAACCTCTTTTCTACTTTCCCTGTTTCTACAATCAGCAGTGCTGGAGCTCCTGCCCATCACTTCCAGCTTCTCCAAAAAAGTGAATTAAAGAAGTGCTAGGTTCTCCTCCTTCAAGGGCACATGGACAGTTGTATACAGCAAGCACCACATGGGACCACAGTGGGAGCCTCTAATCAAGTTGGGAGGAAAACTCAAAGATCAGAAGATAGCCCTCTCCTCACTGGCAGGGTGGGGGTGGGGGATTGGACAAGGTCAAAGGGACAGCAACTGTTCTGTTATCCCAGGGTCTGAAAGAAAGAACATAGGGGACTTCAATCCTATCACTTTCACCCAAGCTTACCTCTACCTGTCCCAAAATTAACAATTTATGAAGCTGTGTATGTTGGTGTATTCCTGAAATTCCAGCACTTGGGAGGCTGAGATTTTTGAGTTCAAAGCCAATCTGGCATACATTGTGAGACACTGTCTCAAAAAATTAAAAAAAAAAATCTTAAATGGTTCTCTAGATTTGATTCCTGGGACCCACATGGTAGAAGGAGATAATTGACTCCTGCAAATTGCCCTCTGATTTTTGGCACATGCATACCCATACACATATACACACAAATAAATAGATGTAGTTCTAAAAAATCTTTTTAAAAAATCAGTAAAGGGGGGGCTGGAGAGATGACTCAGTGGTTAAGAGCACTGGCTGCTCTTGCAGAGGACCCCAGTTCGGTTCCCAACTCCTACATGGTGGCTAACATCCATAACTCCAGTTCTAGGTGACCCAACCCTCTCTTCTAACTTTCTTGGGCACTGCATGGGTACACTTATGTACATGAAGGCAAAACTCATAAAATAAAAATAAACACAATTTAAAATAAAAAAGGGGCCAGGTATGGTGGCTTACGCCTTCAATCCCAGCACTTAGGAAGGAGAGGCAGATGGATCTCTGTGAGATCAAAACCAGCCTGGTCTACATAGTAAGACCAGGTCAGCTGGGGCTACATCAAGACTATGTCTCAAAAACAAATGAACAAACAAACAAACTGATAAAAGGCCAATGAAATGGCTCAGCAGATAAAGGTACTTGTCAACAAGTCTCACAACCTGTGTTTGATCATCAGAACCCACATGGAAGAGAGAGCTGACTCCTACAAGTTGTCCTCTAACCTCCAAATATACGATGCAGCACATATGTTTACACACACACACACACACACACACACACACACACACAATAGATGAATAAATGTTTTTAATTTTTTTTCTTGGTCTTTTTTTTGAGATAGGGTCTCCCTGTAGCCCCAGCTGTCCTGGAACTCACTATGTAGACCAGGCTGGCCTTGAACTCACAGAGATCTGCCTGCCTCTGCCTCCCGAGTGCTGGGATTATAGGTGTGCACCACCACACCTTTTTTTTTATTTTATGTGTATGAGTGTATTGCCTGCACGTGTATAAGTGCACCCATGTCATGCAGTGCCAACGGAGGTTCAGAAGAGGGTGTCGGATCCCCTGGAACTGGAGTTATGGACAATTGTTAGCTGCCATGTGGGTGCTGGGAATCAAACCTGGATCCTCTGTAAGAGCAATCCATGCTCTTAACCAGTGAGCCATCTCTCCAGCCCGAATAAATATAGTTTGAAAACTGATAAATACTGGGAATTTATATGTATTTTGTCTTTAATTAAATTTTTAAAATTTATTTTGTATGTGTATGCCATGGGACTTATGTGAAAGTCAGAAGACAACTTCCAGGAAGTCAAATTCAGGTCATCAGGCTTGGCAGCAAGTGCCTTTACCTGCTAAGCCATCTTGCCAACCGATTGAATGTGTTTTTCCTTATTGGTGGGTGAATAATATGATGGTATTTGTATTTTGGATGGTGCTGCCAGCAGCAGTATAAAGACAGACTGAGGGTAGAGGTGGGCTAGTAAGAGGAGGCGGAGCTGCAGACTGGTTATGCCAGTAGCATCCTCTGCTCGCCTCTTCCCTGCTGTTCCTTCACAGTTGTCACATTGATTCTGTACTCAGCCACACAGTCTCTCCCTCTGCATTCTCTTGGATGATACTTAACAATAACTCTAAGAACCTAGCCCTGAAAGCTCAAAACTGTTTCTCTAACCCAAGTCCACAAGGCTGGAGGCCCCCTGGACAGCCTCTTCCCATGCTCTCCAACAGTTCCCTGCTTCATCAAACAGAAGTGCTGTGCTCAGATCTGGGACCTCCTTGTTCCCTTCTTACTCTGCCTAGTTTACCTCTGACCTGTCTACTTTGTCATCTCACCATCCTTTCCTGCCATCTTCTCCAGCACCTGCCTCAGCCCCATGTTCACCTGCCTTCAAGGACATCACTCTATTTATCTTTGAGGTACTTGAGATGAAAACCAGGATCTTGTAAATGTTAAGTGAGCACCCTACCACTAACCTACATTCCCAACCCTTGGTTTGGGGTAGGTACAAGGTCTTGCTATGAAGCCCAGACTGGCTTTAAACTAGATATCCACCTTCTGTCTCCTGAGCCCTGGGATTATGGGTATGTACCACTAGGCTCGTTACTCCTTTTTTTTTTTTTTTTTTTTTCTTCTAACATAAATGAGACCACTCTTCTACAACTGATAAAAATAAGCAAATAGGTGTGTGCTGGTATGTCCCTGTTTTTCTCATGAGGTAAAGCAAGATCTTCAGCATGGCCTACATTCAACACTCATTGATGTATTCATCCGGCAAATGTTTACTGAGTGCCCACGTGTGCTCAGCAGGAGGGACAGAATGACAGATCCTGGGGGAACCCAAAAAAGGACAGGAGTAGGGGCAGGGTGAGACAGAAAGAGAAACACAGATGGAAAAAAGAGATGCTTCGACAGTCAAAATGTTTATGGCAGTGGGGATAAGATAAAGGGACTCTCAGGCTGACAAGCTAAGAACCAGTAGCACCAAATCCATTATGGGTGGACGGTGGCTTGGTGAAAGCTTTGTGGAGAACAGTATGACACATGAACTCACAACAGTAGGCATTTTATTTGTGGAAAGCCTGAAAAATCACCAAATTTCACATTAATGAAGAACTGGTGGGGTGAATGTAAGCAAAGGACAATGATATATGTATGAAAATGTCCTAATTCATTAGTTTGTACACCAAAGGTTAATAAATCTGGGGCTGGAGAGATGGCTCAGCAGTTAAGAGCACTGACTGCTCTTGCAGAGAACCTAGGTCCAATTCCCAGCACCCACATGGTGGCTAACAACCAACCATAACTCCAGTTCCAGGGGATCCAATGCCATCTTCTGACTTCCTCAGGCATAGCATGACATGGGTGCACTTACACACATGCAGGTGATACACTCATACACATAAAATAAAAATAATAAAAT